ACTGATGTGAGATCCAAATGACATGCCTTCTAGTACTTCGAAAGCGAAGGTTTTGGGATTTCGCTCAGAGTTGTTCTTTAATTGAAATTAATTGGGTTCTAGATTTCGCTAAGCTGAACTTGAAGTGTAGTGAGACTGAAGTTGGATTAGCGTATATGTTCAAAAATTTGCAGTCTAGTCTCCTTTTGTGGCCTAAATGGGACTCAGTATTCTTTCCGTTCTTCTATGACTAACTTGGGGTTCTGGTCAGGCAAAGGGCCGTGGTGTGGAACTGGAAGTTTTTTTCTTGAAGTGTGCAGCAGGTTACGTTTGTTTGCGAACTGCTGTTTTTTTGGGTTATTTGAACTGATGAATTGGGAATTGGAAGTTGTCCTCACAAATCTTGTAATAGTAATGTGTAAGTATAAGAAATTTTTATTTCCTCTCTTGTTTCACCAAAAAAAATTGAGATTTTTTGAAATGACATTTTTCCCATGATTGTTGAAGAGTAGTTTGGCCGGGACTTGTTTTGGTTTTGCTACGTTTAACCGCTGTGATTTCGACTGGAGGTACGATGCGTTGGTGGTTTGACGTAATGGATAGAGTGGACTTGAGAATGGTAGACGGTGCTCTTTTACTATTTCTTTTTGTTGATATTATCAACATTGGAGGGTATTTCTTATTCTTTTTTTCTTTTAAAGGTTTACAGTTCTGTTTGCAAGCAGTGGATTAATGGTTTAACAATGAACATTCTCTTGTTGATTATTTTGCTTGTTTTGTTGAATAAATTTAAAAAATTTGCGAGTATTGGAGTGTTTTGTGTTGAATCTTTCCATTTAAGCCATTTAGTGGTAACCTAGTCTTACCTAGTAATCCGTATTGTGTATATTTCGCTATGTACGGGAACTGGTGATTGGACCAGGATTACTTTTTAGGAAATAGATGAACTAAGTGTGCAGCTATATTGTTACCAGTTTTGTTAAGGTTATCTATGTATAAATTAGTAAAGTTTTGCATTCTAAATTTGGGAGACTTTGTGACGTTAGTCTGTAGTAAAGGGACGGAATGTTGTTGAAAAAGATGAGGGGAAGAGAACACAGAAAGATTTTCCTTTACTTCATAGTACATTTCACAACGTGGCCTTGTTTTCAATTGGAAGTCGGCGCTTAAACGGGAAAAGTGGCCGGTAGAACAGATTTGGAGCATGTGCGCTGGTCATTTATATTGGAAAGCATTCTTTGGTTGATAATCACGTTTCGTACAGTCTGCGGCTCAGCGTAATAGAAACTATAAAATGGGTTTACTAAATTGAAAAAAAAAAAATATGAAAGTTCTTTATCTGACTCTTCCAGATTGACCGCAAACAGCTGGCAGAATTGGTTTTAACTCCACTGATAAAGTGCTTAGGTTGGACATGATATGAAAAAGGTGTTCTGATACGTTTTCGGCTTAACAACACTTGTGGACGTCTAGGTGTGAAGGATGTCGTGTTATCTTCATGAATTATTGTTCTAGAAACAGAGAACATGACAAAGAGCCGTTTATTTTCCTTGTAAATTTTAAAAAAAAGGAATAAGGCGGAACAGTTTAAGATAGATATGTTCTGTCTGACATTTTCATAGTACTGTGTTCATATGATTTTTCACTGCTTTTGTTGTTTTATTTCCAAATGCAAGCCGGCGTAAGAATTCCTTCAAATAGGGCTTGTTTTTGTTTCATCGACAGGGAAGGAAAGAAGAAAAAGGGTGGATGAGTAAGTGGTGGAATGAGTTAGTAGTTCACATTGTTCAAACAGTTGATTTTTTTTTTTTTTTTCATTTTTTTGATCGTTTACAGGAGTGTACGGTAAATAAATGGTTGGCAAAAAGGAAAAAAATGATGGAGGAAATTTTCAAAACGGAAAGAATAATGGTGAAAAAGAAATGATAACAATTTGTAAAACATTTGATTGTGTTGATAAAAAGCTTTCTCAATACGGAATGGAACTATTGCAGCAAAATCTCACGATCGCTCCTACAGCGTTTTTGGGAACGACCTTTAAAAATGACCCTGTAATTCTCCTAGTCGGCTGTATTTTTCCTCTTTTCTTTTTTTCCTTTTTCCTCTTTTTTTTTTTTTCTTTAACATACCTTTACATAACCGTGATCTCTGTTTTCAAGGAAACACTCATGTAACAAAGATATAATCTTAGGAAATTTAATAATTTTCATTTATCACATGAGTCATTTTTGAAATTCGTAACAGCCCAAAAGCGGTGATACACTAACGATCCAGTGTCAACATTTTATGCTCAAAGTCAAACATACTTTTTTGAAGATCATTTCAAACACTTTACGATAATGTTGAATTGTTTTTGTTGTACTGTCATTTCAAGTGATAAATTTTATGTTTTCTTGTGCAAATTTTTTTTTTT